CTGCCCTGCCTGGACTGGCTGCCCCGCTACCCAGTCAAGGACTGGCTCCTGGGGGACATCGCCTCGGGCTTCAGCGTGGGCATCATGCACCTGCCCCAGGGTGAGCAATGTCATGCCTAGGCTGCTGGGGGCTCCCCGCAGGCAGGGGGCCAGGGCTTGGCCATCCGTGACATTTCTCCCTGCTCCCCCATGTCCAGGTCTCGCCTACGCACTGCTGGCCGGGCTGCCGCCTGTCACTGGTCTCTATTCCTCCTTTTACCCCGTCTTCCTCTACTTCTTCTTCGGGACGTCCAGGCACAACTCCGTGGGTGAGCTGAGGGACCACGTGCTCCCCCGGGGATGGTGGGGAGGGAGGGAGGATGAGGGGGGCAAGCCTTAATCCATGGCACAGCATTGCCACATCAATGGTTTGGGGGGGACCTTTCTTGCCTTTAATTTGCCCCACCAAGAAGGTGGTTGGCCATAGCAGAGCCAAAGCACAGTGGGTGCACTTTGACCCCAGCCCAAGAGGACAGGTGCCTGTGGACCTCAGAGAGGTCCTGGTGCTGATCTTGGGCTCTCTGCCCACACCCTGCCTGTCCCCAGGCCCCTTTGCTGTCATCTCCGTCATGATCGGGAGTCTGACAGACTCCCTGGTGCCCAGTGAGAACTTCCTGGAGTCCGTCAACGGCACCAACATCACGATGGTCAATGAGGAACAGCGTGACGCTGCCAGGGTGGAGCTGGTGGCCACCATCACTGTCCTGACAGGCATCTTCCAGGTAATGGGCCCCAGCCCAGCCTGGCAGGGAACAGGGGTCCGTGGTGCCCTGTGGCTGCGAGCTGCGGGGCACTCCTCCTGCCACCTCTCCTTCCAGGTGGCCCTGGGCTTCTTGCAGTTTGGCTTCGTGGTGACCTATCTCTCGGACCCACTGGTGCGTGGCTATACCACTGCTGCCTCTGTGCATGTCCTCGTCTCCCAACTCAAGAACGTCTTTGGGGTCTCCCTGGGCGAGCACTCAGGGCCGCTCTCGCTGTTCATGGTGAGTGGGAGTTTGCTGCTGCCCTGGGACCCCCAGGCACTCACCTGTGGGGCACACAGAGGCCCTCAAAAACCTGCCGGGGAGGCATCTGCTTTCCTGAGCCCGTTCCTTCCTCCTGTGTCCTCTAGACCTTCATCGAGATCTGCCAGAAGCTGCCAGACACCAATGTGGGCACGCTGGTGACAGCCATCATTGCCATGGTGGCCATCTTCATCGTGAAAGAGCTCAACCACAAATTCGCTGCCAAGCTGCCCATGCCCATCCCCATCGAGCTTGTCACGGTACCCAGAGCTGCCCCAGCTCCCTGTGGGGACACAGCCATGGATGGCCCTATCCCCTCGAGGGTGGGGAGGGGTGGGATGGGGTGCCTTCGTGAGTGCAGTTCCAGGGCATGCGTCCCCTTCTCCTCCTCCACCACGGTCCCTGCACAGGAAGGCTCTGCCTCACTCCAGCCATCCTCCCCCAGATCATCATCTCTACCGGCATCTCCTACGGCGTCAACCTGAACGCCAAGTTTGGCATCTCCGTGGTGGGCAACATCCCCAGCGGGTGAGCAGGGCCAAGCGGTGAGGGTGGCTGTGCCAGGGCACCATGCCGCCCATGGGACCCCCCTTTTGATCCCCGTCTCCCTGTCTTGGCTGTAGGTTGAAGGCGCCTGTGGTCCCTAACGTCAGGTACTTTGGGCAGGTGGCGGGCAATGCCTTTGCCATTGCTGTGGTGGGCTACGCCATCTGCATCTCCCTGGGCAAGATCTTTGCCCTGAAGCATGGCTACAAAGTGGACAGCAACCAGGTGATGCTCCAACGCGCAGGGCCCCTTCCCTGGGTGAAAACCAAGCTTGTACTTGCAGCTGGGGGAAGGCATGGTGCTCCCCTCCCACTTCTCTGTCCCTGCAGGAGCTGATCGCGCTGGGCCTCTGCAACTTCCTGGGGGGCTTCTTCCAGTGTTTCGCCATCAGCTGCTCCATGTCGCGGAGCCTGGTGCAGGAGAGCACAGGGGGCAACAGTCAGGTGGGTCCAGCTCCGTGGGGCTGGACCAGGGGCACAGCGAGTGGCGGGGAGCTCACCTCTTGCCTCCCGCTCTCCTTCCCCTCAGGTAGCTGGTGTCATTGCATCCCTGGTCATCCTGGTGACCATTCTGAAGATCGGAGAGCTCTTCCGGGACCTGCCCAAGGTACATCTGCTCCCACAGCCTCCATGCCATGTCCCACCCCTGTGCCTGTCCCATGGCAAGGTGGTGTGGCAGGGGAACAGCCAAGGACCCCCCCAAGACCTGCTGTCAGCATCCTCATAGCTGCAGGGACTTCTCTCCTAGGCCATCTTGGCTGCCATCATCATCGTCAACCTCAAGGGCATGTTCAAGCAGTTCAATGACCTCCGCGTGCTCTGGAAGTCCAACCGGGTGGACCTGGTAAGGCGCTGACCGGCCCCGGGGCTTTGCTCTTGTCCCTGGAGAGGGTTTCTCCATCCTCCCTGAGGCTTGCAGGTGCTGGCAGGGAGGCCATGCCGCAGCTGACCATGTACCCCCCTCCAGATGGTCTGGATTGTGACATTTGTGGCCACCCTCATGCTGAACTTGGACATTGGCCTGGGGGCCTCGGTGGTCTTTGGACTGCTCACCGTCATCTTCCGCACCCAGCTGTGAGTACCCCGGGGCTGGGGCCGGTGCGGCATCCTGAGGGCAGGGGAAGCCCGTGGTGACCTCAGCCCCTTGCTCTGCTCCCCGCAGCCCCCACTACTCCATCCTGGGGCGCATCGCCGACACTGATGTCTACAGGGACGTGGCTGAATACCAGATGGTAACAGCACCGGGGGGTGGGAGAAGAAGCACCTGCAATGGGGGGGGGCAGTTCAAAGCACC